ATGTTCTAGAAGGAAATTTTTGCACCTTTTACAGTGTTGCAGTACAGTGTGTAAGCTGGAGAACAGTGAGAAGAATAAAATGAGTTAAAATATAGTAGTGTTTGTAAAGGATGGCTTTGGAATTCTTAACTGACAATAATAGATGTCAGGTTAGAGCAATCCACATACATTCAAACAAATCCAGCATCAATTTTCCAGATCTTTATTTGAAATCATGTATAATGAATCTAAGATTTCACTACTGCATTTCCTTTTGATTACCTCCCTCCAGGTTTAAACTAATGGGGCTGGAGAATAATCTCCCCTATACCACCATCAATTCATACTAATATTGCTTTCAGAGGATAGCAATACACTGCAGTAGCCTGATTACAATGAAAGTATTCCCTTCAAGCACAATGCTCAGTAACTTTGTAGGGACTGCTGACGCAGAGAATAAGCATAAAAACTCCCTTGCAAAATACAGAATACTGTAATAGAAGCACAGGGTTCTTCTAAAGGTTTGAAAATAGTTGATCCCAACCATCTTTATGAAATACACAGAAAAAATACATATGCCTTCCATTAAATATTTATCACAATTCTATCACCTTCTATTTTGAATTTTTAATTTCCCCCCTACACTTCCTCAATATATTATCCTTCTTCAGGTAATAGAACAAATGCTGAAGAGAAACCTTAACCCTACAGTTCCCTGTGAGAGCTCAGAGAGGAAGAGATGGCTGCATAGGGAGACAAATTAAAGCACACCATTGATGATGGGCCAATGATTGTAGCATGAACCTGTCAAAAACATGGTTGGGGGAGAAGCCTAAATCAGCATGGGGACAATTTCATATGGGAGAAGCAGCTACATATGAATGCAGAGGTCCAAGGATACTTTGAAGCCCCCACTAACTTCTCCTAGAATGCAGTGTACATATGCACTGTGAAGTTACAAGTGGGTATTTCTGAAATATAGATGCACCCAAGAGATGTTTAGATTTTGATGCTCTTTTCCCAAATGAACAATGTTGGGGACTGAAAACTTATGTGACTAAAGGTACAGGGGTTAATTTCCACAATATTCAGATGCAACTGTATTTTCACTCATATAATATTACTGACTCTAAAGTTACATTATAAAGAAACACTAATCTCTGTATCAGAAGGCTCTGAACTTCACTGTAGTAGCCTCACAGGTAGCTTATAATTAAAAGAAGCAGTAAGTATAACCTACTATAACATGTAGGTTCAAAAGACCTCTTTGAAGTGGGACAATGCCTTTGAAATATGAGAAGAATTGAATAAAGAGAGACCCTACATCAAAAGATGCTAAGCTTAGGCAAATCTTGTGAAGGCTGGAAAGTTAAATGATAGTTGTCTATCACAGGCCAAACAAACACTGAGGTAATGGATAAACATACAGACAGAAATCCCAATCTCCATCACTGCACAAAGGAAAAGCTGTTAAATTAGAGAGACTGCCTAATGAGCTTACAGCACACACATTATGAAGGAGAATGCTAAGAGGCTGGGCTGCTTCTGGAGAAGACACTCAACTTTCACATTCTGCCTGCAGCTTATCCATCACAGTAGCCAACATTTAGCCACTTGAAATTAAGACTATGTTTGGATACAGTTTTCTAGGACTCTGGAAAGGATTCACAATTGGACAAGTAGGGTGTTCAAAAGGGCTTTGTTTTCTCCTGACTGTGTTACTTTAGCAGCTCACTCATCAAATGATTTCAAGCCCATTTCCTTATTGAAAAGGACCAGCTACATCACTTTTTCCACTGCAGAAAAGAGGGCATGAAACACAAGAGGTAGACTGCCCTAGAGACTGTCAACATCATAAAACTAGACTTGGAAAAGTTTTTATTCTCACCTCTTGGAAGTTTACTGAGGTCCTTAAAGCCACAGGGCAATTCCTCAGAAAAATACCATTTAACACATAGTTCAGAAGTTACAGTATTTCCCTTCAGTTCGTTATCCAGGTACAGGAAATAATGTCCTTCTGAAATTAAGAAGGACATAGAAGGGGAGATTTCTATTCTTTCTTCAAGAAAAACTTGAGGCTTGTATTGTAAAGGTCTGTGTCTATATATGGAATATTGTACATGAAGGCTCTTAATTCAATACCACCTTTAAAAAAATCTTCAGCTGATGATATTTTAATTTCCACCAAATGTTGTTGTGTCTACCTCCATATTGCTCATCCTAGACAGAACTTTGTTAGAGCGAGTTGTCCTGCAGCTCTGCAGCCAAGGTTCTCTTTAAAGCAGTGAAAATGGAAAAACATGTGGCCTGTAAGGAAACAACAGGAACTGACTACACATCTAAGGTACTCCTTGAGAAGTGACTTTTCCATGGAAGTGTTTCCAATAACAAACTTCAGCAAATTTCCATTTTGCTATTTAAAGGGCCTGGCACTGTGGTTTAAACAGATGTGCCATAACAACTGTTCACATCACATGAAAACCAAACCTTTTTAGAAAGGCAACTTCATTGTACTTCACTGAGAAAACTGGTGCCTACTAGGAACTAGAAAAAGCAGTGTTTTCCCCACAGAATGATTAGGTCTTAAAAGGTCTGAAGCATATCTGCCACTCTTGGATCTCAAAGACAGTATAGCCATGACAGAGCATGTTCTGTGGTTATAAAACACCATAAGCTCTCCACTTTTCTTATTTTACACGCGCTACCCTCCCATTATCTAATTTATATTGTGTTATGTCATATTTATAGACTTCAGGCTCTTCTCTGTTTACTTTATTGTCACCAGAAACAATTGCTTCTGCTTGCACTACTTCCTTACCTCAGAATTATACTGCCCTCACAGTCTCTAGAAGAAACCAAACAGACCACCAATTAACTGTCTCAGTTTGGAAGACAGGTGTCTGCTAGTGAGGGCAGGAGCCTCCCTTGCAATGAAAATGTAGACTCCCTCCCTCCGAATTATTATAATTCTGAAATCAAGGGGCTCTCAGGCAGAGATCTGTGAATAGGAATAACAGTTCTTTACTAGTATTTCTAACAAGGCAAACAAACAACAATAATTACAGCATTAGCAAGAAAGCAGAACCAGGGGCCCCGTGACAGCTTTCTCTGCTGAGACGGGAAGGGATGGAGGAGAGGCTTTGCTTCACAAACCCCTCGGGCGGGCAGTCCCGGTGCTCCTGCAGGGCTCTGAGGAACAGCCGGCTGGAACGGCAGGGATGAGCTGAGATTCTGGGCCGGTGGCTGAGGTGTATCAGCAGGGATGAGCTGAGATCCTGGGCCGGTGGATGAGGTGGATCAGCAGGGATGAGCTGAGATCCTGGGCTGGTGGCTGAGGTGGATCAGCAGGGATGAGCTGAGATCCTGGGCTGGTGGCTGAGGTGTATCAACAGCTCCACGTCGGTGCCTGGCACTGCCACATGTCCCGGCAGGACAGGGGGTGCGAGAGCTCATGGATGAAGAAAAAGAAGCAGCTCTGTCTGTGTGATGTCGAAATCCTTTCTCCAAGCAACAACAGCTTCGAGCGAGTCCTGCTCTGAAGCTGAAGAAAGCAGCCAGCCCCCAGCTGCCCCCGCCCTCTCTTTTTCCTGCCCCCCTTTCCCCCTGGGCCCAGCCGAACTCTTCGTGTTTCTCAAGCACCCACTAAGTAACAGCAGTCAGATTTCCCCTCCACCGATGGGTAAAAATTCCATTAGTGAGAAGGAGCAAAAGGAAGGACACCCAATCCTCAACAACAACCCAATCCCACAAGAGATAACCCACAGTTTCAGAGTACAGTGAATGGTGAGGAGTAAGCAGCACAACTATCATAAGCAGCTTGCAAGATCAGAGGTCTAAACAAAAGGTTATATTAAACATTACACTCAAATTAGACTATGAAGGGTTTTATCCTAGGATGAGTCACTTTTAACAGGTTAATGGAAAATAAGATCTTGCACTGTACAAGTGTTTAAAAAAAGAAAACAGATTATAAAAAAATGAAGAAAAAAGTTCTTCACTGAGTCATAATGGCAGCAAGAGTAGTTAATTCTCTTTGTTCTACCTTTCTTCTTTGTCCTGCAAGATCACTTTCATCCCTTTGCTCCTACAGAGGTTTGATTCCAAGGAGCTGCATGGACAAGGATCCTTTGTTACTACTTTTTTGAAATACAGGTTTCAAAACACAAAAAAAACCTGAAAATAAGAGTGAGTAAATCCTACTGCATCTCCCTGCAGTTGGGAACACTAGTTAAAGGGAACAGAAGCTGCATAGGCACCTTTGTCCTTGCAGAATGCAGTGTTACCGTAACTGGAGATACTGCTTTGTTAGGAGAAGCAAAGAGTCGCATGAACATGGAAAAGGGGATATTACCACAGAGAGGATCACTCAGCTATATACAGAAACGTGCAGCTAAACCCTCTGCCTGCACATTCGAAGAAACAGTGAGGGACTGTGTCTTTTTCAAAAACTTAGTAACATTTCAGATAAAATTAAATGTTGCATGCAAGTGCTTTGCTTATACACAAAACTATTGCAATGAGGCCACAGGCACTGGGAGGGAAGCAGGGAAAGCAGAAGGGTAGTCTCTTAGAAAGAGGGCATGCACTTACACCTTACTCCAGGGCAGGCAACCTGGTTAACCCCAGCGTTACCATAATCAAATGCTTCCTGTAACAACTTTGACACAATTTTGCACAGCCATGGAATAACATACATCTCTTCACACCACAGACCTTCCATGTTGAAAAGACAGGTAGGATTCATCATTTGTACTCATGATACCCTTGCTTTAATTGTCTTGTAAATGGGAAACCTTCAGGACAGACTCAAAAAGGACAAAGTCCCATTAGAAGGGGTTACCTTCCTCTCAACAGCATTCAAAATACAAACGAATTCTAAATGAGCCAGCTTGGAGAATGGTGACCCACTGTTTGGTCTTCCTTTCTCCTTACTGTAGGACTATACATGTTACGATTAACATCTTTCTGAGCCTGCCTTGACCAAAGGCATAGGAAAACTTTTACAAAATAACCAGCTTCCTAATTCACAACTTCATTATCAACACAGGAGAACAGAAAATGTTTTTACCATGTTAGAGTGCCACTTCATATCTAAGAGCCCAAGAATACATACAGATACATAAGCACTTAATCTAATTCCACACCTGCAACAGGAAGCTTATACCCTCCAAACTGCCAGTTCACTGAATCCTTCCCTTCCTCCTTGCAGCTCCTGGCACTCACCTGGTGGCATCTGGCAGCTCCTTGACTGAATTCAGCAGAAAACCAAGGAGCAGAGGCAGAGGAAAAAGGAGGTGCTGTGCGTTGCTGCATAAACTGAGCTGTGCTGCCTTACTGCCTGATGAATAACAATTCACATAACCTAAGTGGAAAGAGCCAGGATCAGATCAGGAAACTGTTTCCACACTTGAATAATGGGGTTTGCATTTAGTTGATCATTACTGAATTGAAGGTCTCTTTTCTCTGTTGCTGACTTCCACAATATGACAGGAAGATTATCCAAGGCTATCTCTTGTCCAGTGCATAACAGAACAAAACAGCAGAAACCTGTTCAGATTTGCCTACACTTGGAAAACATCCCAGGAAGGACAAACAGCAATGGCTGGATTCTTTCCTGGTTTAAGCGGAACAAATGTATTGAAAATAAGTGCTCACAACTGGAACAAGACACTATGAGACACTTACGAGAAAAGAGAGATGAATCCTTTCCCCAAGTAGAAAATGGCGCCTCTGCCAGTTTTCCATTGTTTTCCCCATAATTCTCTATTTCCTTAATAGCAAAGAGGATTGGGATACCACATGGTAATGACAGTTGTCAGGAAGATCAATCCACAAACACCAAAGGTTTATGTCCAAAAAGGAGACAGAGGAGTCCTTTTACTTTATTCAAATAAAGGGAGAGGCCATGGGCCATTCCCCTGGGGTCTCTCAAATTTTTGGAGGTCGCAGCCTCCTTTTTATCCTAATCCCGGCCACTTGTCCCTTCTCCCTTTCCCCATAGGCTGAGGTACTTGAGAGGTACAGGCTTCCCGGAACGCCTGATACCTGGGGTACCTCCCCGCCCGCCATGCATAATCCCTTCTTAATTCTTAACTCTTGTGGAATTCATGGTGCTTCTTCAGTGCCTCTTTCATCTTTCTATGGAATCCATCTCATTGTTTCTGTTATCTCTCAGTGATAGTTGCATTTTATCAGCAGACCCACAGCTTGTTTGTAAAGACAAACCTGTCATTCCTCTTACAGTGAAGACCTCTTTGGCCTCATCCACTTTGGGCTCTGACAGCATTTAGATATGTCTGTAAAAAGGATTAACAAGAAATAACTAGTACTGCTGTAATTGGCTTATGAGCAGAAGAGAAAAAATTGCATTAAATAGCCATTTTAGAGACAGGCCTAAGACTTAAGAGATTTTTTCTAAAGTGACAGTCCCCACTTTTCTTTGGCAATTTTTACAAGATATAAAGTTCTTTAGGGCTCCATAGATTGCCTAAATATCAAATGATTAATCTAGTTTTCTATTTGTCTATATTGATATTTTCAGCCACAATGAAAGGGAGACAATAGAGACTGGATATGAAAAGCACAAACAGCTGTGTAGTCAGGGTCTTCTAAAACCATCCCAGTCTGTCAGGCCATAGATCCACAGTCAGTAGTTTCCTATTCATGCTGCTAGAATAGCATATCAAGTGGACCCTCATGTTTGGATAAACACAACTTTTGCTAAAAGATGAATTTTCATTTCTTTGACAGTCATTAATTGTATAAAGGACCAGGGTTTTGTGTGTCTCAGCCACCAACTTCTCTGGTTCTGGCAGACTTTGATATTATAATTATCTTTATTCACCTCTCATTGGAGGCTACAGATTTTTTGATCAATTTCTTCACTTGAGTTTCAATAAATAGATCTGTCACTTATTGTGCTTAATCTAACAAAATGTCTTGCAATTTATTGAACCAAGATTTAGCACTTGGTCCAACACACTCAGTCTCACTGTGAGCCAGTGCTGTTACATAGAAGACCAAGTCTAGGCCTGGGCCCCCAGTGTTCAGTAAACTACAGGTGCAAATATAAAAAATGTTATTCCTTCTCCTCAGCCTCTACCAGCAAGCAGTCTTCCAATCTGTTACAAGCATGCCAGCATAAATGGTTGTTGAAGTGCTGTACACAATGGTACTACATCTTCTCCATTCCAGAGCACAGAACTTCATCTGCAGAGCCAGGTGACCAAAGGGAGGGAGCCTGAGGAAGAGCCTGGCAGCCAGATACGTGAGCCTCTGCATCTCTCGGTTCACTTGTCAGAAGGCTACGAGATCCTGTGTGAAGCACAGCAGAGCAATGCTAAATAGCAACTACTTCAGAGGTTTTCAGAGCATGACAGGATCAAATGTGTTACAACTCACAGCCAATCATAATGGTTACACACCTTCCTCAAATTTTTTGCAGCAAAAAAAGGGCAAGCCTTCAGGTTAGCTGGCAGCCATGGGGACCTCTGTCTATCATTCCATGTATTGTTCTTGATTTGCTCAAGCTGATTGTCAACGATTTATGCAGTATCCAAGATGACTCATTAATTGCTTTCCAAAGGTTTCCAGCATTAGTTGTCTGAGAAAAAGAAGGTGTGAACAATCTTCATCTAAATGAGCTGAACTAAAAAGGAATGTAGTTATTAGTAAAAGCAGCAGTGTCATAATAAGACACATATTTCTCATTCAGAACATGAGATTACATCAACCACCATACCATTAGCACCTAAAAACCAGCTATGTAATGCAGCTCAAGTTTATACATATAAATCTAAATGTGGCTAATCACATTAGTCTGTCCACACAAAATGAAATTACCTGTGACTAATACTAACATATAAAACATATGAAAATTATTTGTAGCGCAATATGAGCATCTCTTTGGGCTGCACTCAGTTTCTCACTGGTTTGAAAGTGAGGGTAGTAAGAAAAATAGGACCCTTATGCTCAAAAAGGCTGAAAGCTCAGCAAGCACACACAGTAAGAAATTATTTTGGAAAAAGACAAATGGTTCAATATTGTGCAAATGTTTTTCCCTCTGAAGGACAGTTATTTGGTTTGATACATATCCATGATCTCCAGGAAACTACACAGAAACAAAGGTGCAGATGAAGACAGAGAGAACAGTAATAAAATCAGATGTCCTGTGGTATTGCTGATGTACTTTCAGATCACAAAGGAATTAGATCTAACAGCATTTTACTTAGTAGAGATAGACACAGTTCAGAAGTAGAAAATTGGAGACGTCTGTGAAAAGGCCAAAAAAAGCTGTAACAATTTATACCACCTGAGGATGTGGCTGAACATACAACCATGTTTTCATTAAAGATTTCAGGTAAGGTGATTTCAGGCATTTCCTAGAGGTGAGTATTTCAGGTAGACGAACAGTTACCAGTGGTTACAAATATCTAATGCTTCCTGAACACGCATCAGCACCACCATGGGAAATTGCTGGGTAAGGAAGACATATCCCCAGCTAGTCATGCATTGTGGTGCTGGGAATATTAGTGACTACATTAGGATGTGTGATTAAAATACTATGTTTTTTCTACTCGTACGTATTAAGAAAGAAAGAAGGTTCCCAGCCTCCTCATTTTAACACACAGAAAGTACAATTTGATGCCACATATATTAACCACATAAAGTAGCCTTAAGAAGTAACCACAGATGCCATGACAAATGTATGTTATGTCAAAGACAAGGTCCAGTTCAGCAGGCTTTTCTGAGTCTGAACTCTACTGAACAAATGAACCTTACTAGACTGTCTGGAAAATAATGACCTCACACCTCTTCAAGCTGCACAGGCATTAATGTAGAGACAAGGAGAGACGACGAGGATGGCTTGAAATTTACATCAACACAAAATTAGTTCAAGTCGGAACTAGAAATCAGAACAGATGACTGCAGGCATGTAAGACCTCTTCTTTCTAAGGCCAGGAATAGAAAGAAATGTCCTTGAGCATCTGAGCTGGATAAACCATTTTCCAGTACTCTTCTGAAAAACACACAGTTAAATGGACTGCTTTTACAGAAAATGAGATATAGACTGAGTACCAGCCAATAGTATATGTTTATAAGCAACAGCCTCATTCAGCCAAATAATTCTTTTTGGATATTTTTGTTGTTTAAGTGAGGAAGAGAGAAGCTACTGGCAGGCTGCCATTGTAATGTAATATTTTGGCAGGAAAACACTTTGTATTATATCACAACCATATGGTGGTAGGAAAGATTTTTTTCTATTAAGTTTCTGTAATAATCTGTTCCTATTTTTAATGCAGCCTTTTGGCATTAAACAAGTTTGCTTCTCAGTTCTGTCACAGGAATTGTTACAGTACGACTACACTTTTATACCTAATAATGGCAAATATTAAAACATTGCATTTTCAGAGGTACAATTAGCTCTTCTGCTGTGAAAAACTAAATGAGCCCACTGATGGAATGGAGCTTCTGTGAAGAGATGACCCTGGTTTCCCATAGCACAGCACACTTTTTTTTTTATTAACTCTAATGGCTGAGAATACTTAAGTAGGTATGATTAAATGAAGTCTGGTTTTCTTTGGTAACAGAGGAAACAGGAAGATGTGTGGGAAGTTGTCACTTGCATTTCTGTCCTCAGCAGCTCAGCTCCATTTTAAGAACAGCAACAATAAATAGATTTCCTCAGGTATCTTCCTATTGCTAATAGAAAATCAGAGCAAGTGAATGCTAGGCAACTGAATGTTTCATACATTCTTAGGACAGGTTCCTGCTCTGGCCCAACTGACTTTCTCCCTCAACATGTCTAGAAACCAGCAGGTAGAATCATTAATGAATTCAATTTTTTTAGATTCATATGTCTGCACTTTGACTTTCCTGTTTGGATAAGTCTTTTATCAGTATGGGGCACAAATGAGCTTTTGGCATATGAATACACCCCAGAATCCAGTAGTAAACATGTTTTTTACTATTCTGCTCATGTTTCAAACTTTTGCAGTCTTCTGTCTTTGCAACACAAAATTAAATGAAAGTACACAGAATTTCTTTTCCATTACCAGTAGTCCAAACACCACCAAAATCACTTTTGCAATCACCTTCTTTGCCAAGAAAGCTGAAATTCAAGAGAAGACACAGAGGTACTTATCTAACAAAGGTTTTTCCAGCACAGCAAATAAATTTCCATTAAGGGTTCCTGAGGCAGATGCCTGCAGGATCCTAGTTCAGACCACATGAAACCCCTGCAGCTTGCTCTTGCCCAGACAACTCTGCTTGTACTCACAGGAGTGCATAAAGCAGCGGATGGGTAGCGGGGTTACGCCTCTTCATGGAAGTTCTTTGGTCCTGTATGGCTGTGCTGAAGCACAGTGATGAATTAAATAATGCCCCAAACACTTGCAGGCAGTTGAATGTGAACATCTACGGAGTTTGGCAGACGGAACATTTCTGGCATGTTTCTGGCCCATGTAAAACAATATTCTCCCCTGCAGCCTCAGGGTGGGTGGTAGAGCTGTGATGTCCCAGGAGCTATCCCCAGCTAGCAGGAGGAGGCTGAGAGGAGACTTCCTGGGGCCTTCCCAACAGGTGGAGCTTCAGAGAGTTTCCAGGGGTGATCATTTGCTGTTCTGTGCCAGCAGTCCTCAAGGTCCTGGTATTTTCATAATTTCTAAGAGATTTAATTTAGTAGGAAATATGTAAACTAAGCAATTCCCATTGATTTCAAATCTGAGCTGATGTCAAGAATGAGTTGCACTCCATGAATGAAAGGAACTAAGTCTGGCCCACATTTGAATATGCCCAAAGTCCTTCAGGATATTATGATTTGGATGACTAAAAAACCAGATAACAAGAGAAGTACTGAACTCTTGGATGAAAACCCATAGGGAGGATTTTTTGTGAGAAAATTATATAAAATTCAACTGCCGTAAGTTACATGATGCCAGCACTGAAGTTTCTTCATGAAATGCAGAAACATTACCAGGGCAGGTGCAAATATTAGACTGCTTCAACCAGTGGTCCACAACTTACCTCCATGTTAAAATTCAATTTTCTCTACTTTCATATACTATATTGCACTTCTTGGTACATAACAACCTAAGTTTCTCTTTATGGCATTGAGCATATGAATGTTATAAAAATATGTTTACAGCAAAATATCCTCAAAAATTATTTACATTGTTGCCAGCTCTTTTGAGACACTTCTACTAACCCTGTCTTTCAGGATTTTCCTTGTTAAAAATGTCCATTCCCCTTGATAAAGCCCTTCACACTTTAGTCAGAGAAACCACATTTTGCTAATATGATGTATTTTTGACTGACAGCATAGTTTTCAGCCTTTAAAAATATCCATATGCAGTAGTCAAAACATAGTGTGCTTGCAGCCCCTTGGAATCTTAATTCAAGTCTGTCTAACTTCCTGTCAAAACTCACAGAGTAAGCAGTAATCAGAAAGATCTACTGTGAGAAAGAGCTAGTTTTGCAGGATCCACTAAGACTAAAGCAGAGGAGGTTATCTTCTGACTTTATGCCTCAGAATTGCAAAACAAACACTTCAGCCTCAAAGCAATGAATCTGAATTGATCATGGTACAGCTCAATGGAGAATAAATAAATACACTCAGAAAAGTAAATGAGGGATGAGTGAAAGAATTTACATCTGTTAATATGGAAATTATGAAAATAAGTAAATGCTTTTGAAAAGACATTAATGGAATTCACCCAGATTTACAGCTGGAATTTGTTTCTGTCATTCTCTCTTATGTATAATCCAACAGAGCTCAAGCTTCCTAAAAAAGCACCATTATTACAGTAACACTGATGTCTGCTCTGCCTTGTCATGGATAGCCACCCTGCCAGTGAATGAGGTCCAGCAGTAAGTGACCTAGGAGCACAGGCTTCCTCTGCCATACCTATGAAGCATACCCTCAAGCCAGGATCCCTTGAATAAAGCTTTGTGTTCTGCAGATCTTATTACCAGCTCTGTCCAAACCTTTGCTTGCAAGTCAGCCATAAATAACATGGAGAGTTTGCAACTGTTCCTGTTGAGATCAGTGGTGAAATTTGCTTAAACTTTGCTGCTTCTGAGTGTGCAATGGTATGTGGGATGTGAGTGCACTCCAGAATGGCTACAGCAGTGTAGCAGCTCATGACTCCCACTGGAGACTCTGGAGAGGTAAAATGGCATCTCTACTCCAGGTCACATGTATAAAGGGAAATGCAAGCCCACTTGATTCCAGAGATCGTCAAATCAAGACATGGTCACTCAAAATGTCCCTGGGCACACAAGCACAGGGAAGGGAGCAGGTCTGGAGACAGAATGATAGAATGGCAGCATTCTTGTCTGCGTAAGAGACAAGACAGATTTGTTCAAAGCCAACTGGTACTATGCTTAAGAGCAAATAATTATCTCCTTGTGTTCATTACATTCTCTCTCTTCTTTATGTTAAAATGATCATTCTGACCTGCAGAAAAATGTTTAATTATTACTCAATTTCATGGTGACAGCATCGAGTTTTTTCAAAGATGCCTTACAAACTGAGAAAAAAAAAAAAAAAGGAAAAAACCCTGTTACCTAAGAGCTTACTGAAATTCTTCAAGTCTCTGGGCATGCATTATATATTCAC